TAGAGAAAGGCTTTGCTGAGCAAAAATCGCAACACCTCCTCCAGGTTTTTTCAATCACATCTAATGACTTGCAATAACATCACCGAGTACAGAAGAAAGTACACTGCGACGCATAATCTTAGTTCCACCTACAAATTTCCCAAAAACTAGAAGTTGAAGATGTTTTCGCAAAGGGTTCTATAAACAAATTGTGACTCATGCAAATGTGAATCTGAATATTATCACAGAAATACAGTTTGAAAAAGCAAAAATTTTTATCGTCATTTTTTCAAAAATACCCGACTCGCCAGTAACGCAAAATTATAGTTCCACCTCGTGTTTCTCCGCTGTATTTTGCTTTTACTCAATCAAATTTTGAAATTATTACCCACTCAATCAAATTTTGAAATTATTACCCACTCAAGTCATTCAGCTTATGGCAAAGGTGAAACCGTTGTCGAACTTCCGTAAAAGGAAAACCACAGCAAAAGTGACGCCGCAGTTGAAGAGTCAGTTCACGCTAGAATTTGCCGGGGTGGCTTCGTAGCGAACAAGTTTCTCAAGGATGCTACAGGATATGATTCTGGGAAGAACCCTGATTACTATCCGACCGAGATAAGCGCCGTATCGTGAGAATAATACGACTTTATCCAGTCGGAGTACGGAAATCAAAAATTCTTCAAAAGTTAGTGTCTCGATGGGAGCAGTTTCACGTGTTTTACAAACGCTCATAGCAGTCCATGTCTGGAGGATAAGAAATACGCTTCCAGTTAGAAAAAATCAAGAAAGAAAACGAGCCATTTTCTCAAAAAGTTTTGCTAAGTAGAGCGAAGTGAGGACACTTTTTTACATGTCTGTGGTTTTTGGAACCTCTGACCATTCCTCCTGATCATTTTCTTCTCCATCCATGTTGTGCTACGTAGTAGAAAATCGATCTGAGAAGAACAACGTTAAGAGAAAGAAAGACGCAAATCAAAATGGCAAATGAAAGAATGCCACCGCTTCACTCGAACTGGCTGCGCTTTCAAAGAAAAATGTCTCGTTTTTCTCTCTGATTTCTTCTCACTAAAAGCGTATTTTTATCCTGCAGACATGGACTGTCACGAGCGTGTTGTAAACACGTGAAGCTGCTTCCATTGAGACACTAATTTTGAAGAAGTTTTGATTTCCGTCCCGTCTGGATAAAGTCGTATTATTTTCTCACGATACGGCGCTTATCTCGGTCGGTAGTAATCAGAGTTTTCCCAGAATCATATCCTGTAGCAACCGTTCGAAAGAAACTTTTCGTGTGAAGCAACCCCGACAAATTCTAGCGTGCAGCTGACTCTTCAACTGCGGCGTCACTTTTGCTGTGGTTTTCCTTTTACGGAAGTTCGACAACGGTTTCACCTTTGCCATAAGCTGAATGACTTGAGTGGGTAATAATTTCAAAATTTGATTGAGTGGGTAATAATTTCAAAATTTGATTGAGTAAAAGCAAAATACAGCGGAGAAACACGAGGTGGAACTATAATTTTGCGTTATTGGCGAGTCGGGTATTTTTGAAAAAATGACGATAAAAATTTTTGCTTTTTCAAACTGTATTTCTGTGATAATATTCAGATTCACATTTGCATGAGTCACAATTTGTTTATAGAACCCTTTGCGAAAACATCTTCAACTTCTAGTTTTTGGGAAATTTGTAGGTGGAACTAAGATTATGCGTCGCAGCGTATGTATAATAACTAGGTTTTAACCATGTTTCTGGAAAAGCATATATATCATAGCTGTTAGCTAACTCAGCTTTGAGGAACTCTGCATTTTTTGAGACCGATCTTACATTTGCATAGTAAAACTTCAGCGGACGAAGAAACCGAGGAATATTTCTCAGTTTCCCTCGACACCTTCGTTAGTCACATGAGGTTTTGTTATCCACGATGAGAATGGAAAGAGCAGAAACATTGCTTTCGTTCTGGTTAAAAATTCAAAAAATCGAAAGGGCTGCCACGCGTTTAAAGTGCCCACGAACGTCTTTCACAAATGCTGGCGACGGGGATGCTTCCACTTAGTTCTTGGAGTGCCTTCACTAGAAACTCTTTCTGGCTTTCCCCTTTATTGCATTCACATCTTAACTTCTACTGCATCATACTCTATCGATTGTTTGCCTCTATTCTCCAAAATCGATCACTTTACCCGGCTTCCGTTATTGCGTCGCCTGAAACGTAGCTGGCTAAAGGCCAACTTCTTCCCATGTCTCGTTTGGCTCCGCCCGAATTACCTTCGATGTCCATAACGTGTAGCTTTTGGACGTTTGTTTCTCTTCGGAAACAGAATCTTCATGCGTGAAACTTTGCCTGCTGTTTCCAGTGATCACAACTGCCACATCCATGTCAAGAAAGAATGCAAGAACTTTCCGCGAAGAATTCCTTTAAGGGAGAGATCACACCTGGAAGATCCCCTACAGTACATGCCGCAATGACGGATGGGGCCTTCGAGTCACTGAATGGTTCCCAAGATACAAAACAAGACCGCTAGGATGATCGCAAACCCGGTGGGCCGACTCGTTTTCAAAGTATTTCAGATAACGTGGTCTACACTGGATGCAAATCGCAGAAACCGGGAAGTATGGAAGAGCTGCGGTCCTCGCTGAGAAGATCGCCGCTGAAGGACTACCAAAGTGTCAAAGTACATACGCAGGAGCAGTCGAACATACCTCCGTTTAAAGAAGATTTTTCAGCTTCAAACACTGCGAAATGCTACGGCAGAAATGCTCTGGACAAGCATTGGCCAGCGCTCACTGCGTTTTGCGGTGGATGTTTTGAAACAATCTCGAGATTTTGAAAGATGAAGAAGAAAATGCGCAGTATCATTTGCGACAACCTAACGAAATAACAATGCGCTTGGACATCTAATTTTATATATTCATCATCAACACTGATAACAATAATCATTTTTCAAACAGAAGAACTGCGCTGAGATCTTAGCAACTACTTAGACTTACACAGAGTTTGTAAAGATTAACACGTTGACGACAAGCTGACGCGCATGCGCGTCAAGAATTTCGCACCGCATCGGACATTCTATGCTACTCACTTTTATCGTGCTTGCGCTCCTTCCTCTCGGGTCTTGTATCCATTCTATAGATAACACATTAGCATGACTATAAACCGCTTGGCAGCTAGAGTGGTCAAGTATCTTTTTATTTGATTTGATGGGAGTACTTAGATATAAATGCTTTTAGTCTCATTCGCAGCGAAAGTGATGTTTTTTTTACTTCTTTGTGGTTATTGTGCGCTCTTCTAAACGAAAACCTTTTGCTATTTATATACTTAACCTTTGTGCGATCGTCCTTGCCGAAATAGTCCTATGAAACTTAAGTTATGGTGCATTTTTAACAAAAAATAAGCGTAAGGCCGATGTCATAGTTTGCGAATCGAGCGATTCGCTAGCGAATCGCTCGATCCGAGCGTTGCACCAGCGAATCGACGTTGCACCAGCGAATCCAACTTTGTGCCAGCGAGTCGAACGATGTTCCAGCGAGTCGAACTAGGTGCCAGCGACTCAATAGTGGCGGGACCTAACTTTCAAAGGAAGCCCGCCACATTCAAGCAGTGTCACGTGACAGGGGACGCTGTTTGAAAGTGGCGGGCTTCCTTTGAAAGTTGGGTCCCGCAATATTGGTCGCTGGTACCTAGTTCGATCGCTGGTACATCGTTCGACTCGCTGCGCAGCAAGTTACGATTCGCTGGTGCCAACGGTCGAGTCGCGTGGGTGCAACGGCTCGGATCGAGCGATTCGCTAGCGAATCGCTCGATTCGCAAACTATGACATCGGCCTAAGTAAGGTGAGGACGGCGCGGTCGCAAAATCGCTCCTGTCCCACGAGGTGCAAAATGCCAAAACATGCAATGTCGTCAACGTGTTAACTAAAATCACCAAGGACTCTGGTAAGAATCACTCATCTTCCATGGTTAACACTTAGTGGAGCACTGTAAAAAATGCAAGCGATTAGTCTAGCGACTGTTGCTACAATTTATAAGAGAAACACACCAATTGGATCGCTTTATGAGAATCAATAAAGGACTTGACTAGGCTGTCAAGCCATACTAAGATGTAGTTTGGGTGCATACAAAATAGCGGGTGGAAAAAAGTTTTTCGAAAGCGACGACGAACGTGCACCTAGCGTGGTTTCCTATAAGCAGCTGATGTGCGCAACAGGTTCCCCACTTGAATACACAGACAACTTCGCGTTGTGACGATTTCCAAACCAGTGAAGAAAAGTGTTATAACAACCACCAAACATTCATAAAACTGCGTCGCTACCGCACGCTCCCATGTACGGTATACAATAATGTCGTTGATGTGCACTTCATTGTAATCATAGTACAATTCTAAGATATTTTACAGATGATGTTCGACTAGGCCCACAAAGTTTTGGCAGGTTTAGAGTTGGCGAACGTGATTCAAAAAGAGCATATGATCTGTTAGATGAAAAGGCGAGTACCGAGAAGGAAAAGATACGTATGATTGTTTGCTCTGACCACTGAGCGATCGCCTAAGGCTGGTATCAGAGTCCACGATCCGTCCAATCGCGAAATCGCGCGCTCGCAGGCTCTGGCACCAAATCGCAACTAACGCCATTGGTACTGAGAAGTGCTCTCCAATCCTGATGCTATTTCTGCATGATAGTGATAATTGAATGAGTACTGCTCATGACCCCACTTATTTCATATTCAATGGTTCAAATATGAAAATGGGATCCTGTGACTTTTGCGCAAATTGTCCGACGGAACGCGGACTGTAACAGCAGACTAAACGTTTACTCGCCTACTCGCCTAATCGCCTAATCGGCCTAATCCATACACATCCTTATTCCTTACAGACTAGCCGCCTAATCGCAACTACGATCGCCGACTCTAAATGCTGCCTAGGTGCAACGGCATACCTTTTGGAAAGTAAGACGCCATAAGGCAAAATGCATAATGCTAAGGAAAAACATGACAAAAGCATGAGGAAATTCAAATGACTACGAACTAAGGCCGACTACCGCTCGGTCTCCACCGTTTCCACCGACTGTATCTCAACCTCTTCTCCAATATGAATCGCTCCAGTTTCATCCTTTGGTGTGCTATCCTTTTCTTCCGGCTCTGTTTGGCTCTGCACCGTAGCCGGGTGATCCTCGACGACCACGCTTTCTTCGACAATTTCCACGTTCTCTATGGTAGCACCTTCCGGAATCATTCCTTCATCAACAATTTCAGCTGACACCAAACCATCGTCGGTCACTACCATTGCTTCTATAGATTCGCCTTCAACAAGCAGTGGATGATTATCCGCGACGATTTCGATACCGAAGTCCTAAAAAAGCTGCTTCAATCACTCTTTGGCGTTCAAAGAGGTGTCACACTCTGCAACTCATGCGATTGCTTTCGCGATGCACCGCGCCACCGTTCTGCAATCATCGGGAGCCATCGTTTTGCACTCCTACTGACTAGTAAAGGGCGCCATTCGTTACGGGTCCCACTGCCTCCTGCTACAGTGAACCCTTCAATGTGGAGCGGGGAATCCGTGAGCCAGGGGCAGTGTAGCCAGTCTAGGGGGGTGGGGGGTGAGGGCAGTCACATTGACATGCGTGAGAAGCTGGAATGTTTGAATCCAACTGCGATCGCTTGGGATCCCCGCGGGTTGAGGCCGTGGAACCCGCAACGAATGGCGCCCTTTACTAGTCAGTAGGAGTACAAAATGATTACTCCCAATCATCGCACCACACATACACACACTACCCATACACGATTTGTCGTTCAAGTGCCGCTCACGACGGCGATGACTGCAGCACGCACGGCACGGTGCCAGAATCGCGACCGCGGATCGCAGATTGTAATGCGGGCCTGAGTGTTAAGTCATACTTTGCGACCACCACTTCGAGTGTGGAAAGACTACATATTGATCGTGCAACCACATGGAATTTGCGATCGATCGCAAATTCCAGGCGATTGCAAACGCCGGAATTGACGTGCGTGAGACATGCGACGTTTCAGCTGCGTGTCGTCCTTTTTGGTGTCTGTCAATGTTTACACATCAACAAATAGTCACAATGAAATAAGCGAATCGAAAAGAATAGATGAGCCGAAATGATGATAACAAAAAATTGACCCCATGACAACTGCTACGCGTTTGCAAGTGGCGTTTCAATGGCATGGAATTTGCGATCGCACGATCGCAAAGTATGACTGGGCCCTGGAACCCTATTCACAGCAGGCTATTTAGAGATTACGCGATTGGGCGATCAGGCTGAAGGACTAGGTGTGACAACAAAGTTGTGCAGCGATAGAAATGGCTCCGCCCAATCAATTTGTCAGTGCGGTGCAGTGGTGACCATTCCGATCGTTACATGTATTGATTTCGAGTAGTCGCCAAATCGCCAAATCACGTAATCGTAAAACCGCATAAATGGTGAGCATGAAAGGGGCCAATATGACGACTCTACCACTGACCGATTTGATATTCTGCAATAACCTCGGCTCATTTTTCTCAAGAAGTAATCTCCACAACGCGTCAAAGACTGCTTCGTTGCTGCTGACGTCGAATGCCTCCTTGGCATACCTCCAGACAGCATCTTCACGTAATGAGTGACCTCCTCCTGGTGGTATATTTGCAAGACGTGTAGCAGTGCTCTAAATAATGTAAAATAGAGAAAAATGAAGTAATTTTTCTTTGCAATTCGACTTGTACCAATTGCTATAGACCAAACAAAAATAATAATAAAAACCTTCCGCACTGGCGAACCAACAGCCTGTTCAACTTCTTCTGTATGCGACACGTCAATGTCACCGCCATCGACTATTCCCTGTGCACTCTGTGCAGCTGCCTGAAACATCGCAATGCGAATTTACTTTTCCAACATTACCTCACTTTTGCCTACATACCAATTCTCCTTGCTTCTTTGCATGAGCAATGTCAGCCTGTAGCCAGTCAGGGATATAGTCCAAGTCTTCCATTCTATAAAAGTGAACAATTACCAATAATTACGCCGACCATCGAAGTCCGGCTGCTTACTCACCCGTTGCCTTCCAGTTTAACGTCCACATATCTCGGTTCACGCCGCAACTCCCGTCGGATGTTATAAAGCTTCAAAATACCACATATAATAGATTTTTGTCACGGCGAAACAACAAGAATACGAAAAATTTCACTATCCTCTACCCCGTCACAAAAATATCGGTTCCTTTGTTCTCTGTGTAAATATTGTGCAGAGATGAGCTAGGGAAAACATGCGTATCATTCTTAGACACATTTTATACAGGTTCTAGATCTTTCAATCTTCTCATGCCACTTTCCAGCTTCTCTTACACATGAATATTTGCACTGTGAAGGCAACCCTGTCAGAAGAAGGGTAATTATTTTTCGATCTGTAGGATTGCCCCCAGGGAACAATCACAGATGTGGCACTTCGTGCATGGGAATCGTCCGAGAACGGCATTAGGGTCCTGTAAAGATAGAACCTTCAAGCTCCGTTGCGGCGCCCTTCCACGTGTTCTCTTGCCTCATGTTCCCCTCTCCGCATGGTCGACGGACTACTTGTACTCCGTCCTCTAAGCCGCCTCAATCCGATGCTCTCGTCTGCGCTCTCTCGCTTTATCAGCGGCAGATGACCACTGTGATCTCATACATTCAAATTTCTGCCACAATGTTATTGGCTTACCCCACCACCCTAGAGTTCCTCCCCTTCCAAGGCTAGTCTTACAAGGAAGGTCTTTAAGGGTGTGCCAAGCTTTTTCAAAACCGTCTTTTGCATGATATAGAGGCACATGCGGGAACCACAGAAGCATGGTTAATTTTTCCTGACGACCGTCTTAATGCCAGAAAAGAGGATCCCTAGTCTCACCTTTTTCACCAGTTTTTCAATCAAAGCCTACTTGTAAGGGTTACTGACGTTCCTAATCATGAATTTGGTACTAATTATTCATGCCAACTCCATTTTGCGCGCATTTGGAAACGTCAACACGAAATGCAAAAACTTGCCACCACGAGAAATCGAACTAGAGATCTCCTTTCCGATATTCAGACAGCCGTTCAGAAAAAAATGAACCATGCTTCTGTGGTCCCTCTATGTGCCCCAATGCCATGCAAGAAACCATTTCGAAAAAGTTCGGCATACCCTGAACGACCTCCCTTGTTAGGACTCTCATCTCCTTCCTTGGTTTAGAGCCGAGCCAGGCGCCGTGCTCTCAATGTCTGTGCACTCGTCATAGAAAAAAAGTGGCAGTACCATAGAAAAAAGTTCTAGTACCAGGGTCAACCACCGCGTTCGCACTTGCTCATGATTTTTGCGACCCCACCCCCTCCTAAAGGTCTCGAAACGAGCCCCTCTTTATGCCTTGTTAACGATCCAGTACATCAACATTAGATAGTGAAACTTGAAGTCCCCAAGAGACGACGATTGTGTCAAGGTGACTGCGTCGCAGCGTTAGCTGAGGAGCGCCGCCGTTCACACTTCACTAGAGATCGAGGAAGGTGTATGTCGTTTGGCGCGGCCCCTCGCAGCAACTTTGCCATCGGGACGCATGGACCGTAACTGCCACATCCCCCCTCCCATGTCTTGGCCAAACAACTCGTCCACATCAGCTATCCGCTAGATTTACGTAAATGGCCGATCTACAGTGGAGCGCGCCAGAACAGCGTTCCCTCACTTTCCCAATCTCAATTCTTCTTCCGGCTTATTTCCTACGTTGACATCGCTTTGCACACTTCATCTGTTAGAATACTGTAAGGTTACTTCGAGGTGACTGTATCACGACCATTTTAGAGTTGTGATACAATGTACTTCCCAGCAACTTGCAGTTCATAAAACGATTTCCTTCGGTCTTTTATGTTAAGAAAATAGTTTATACGAGTTCCATTGAAGTTTTTCTAGTGGCTAGTGGTCTTTTTTCGTATACAGTTGCTCTTTTTGAATGTGTGACATGAGCAGAGAAGTTTCTTGCTTTCGCGCTATGTGATGAACACGTGGAAAGCATTCATCATGATGGAAACACAAGCTCCAGGCGATCACTGAGAAAGGGTCAATTGTGCTGAGCATTTTGCTATTTTTCGTATCCTGTCCTTTTATGGTGTGAGGTTGAATTTATACGTCCCACTATGAGCTCAAAAGAAAGTGAAGATGTCCTCAACGCGCTGTTTCAGTCACATAGAAATCAACACTGCACTAGTCCGAGGTTCTGTTGCCATCGTGAGTTCAGTAAGTGACGCTGACACTGAATTGGTGAACTATAAAGATTAGGTATCCTCCCCACTGGAATAGAGGAATCCCACAAGCCTTCGGGCTACAGCTGATTCCGTGATCTGATGTGGACTCTCCGGTAAAATTTACCCGTGATTTTCATCCGTAATGAGCATGACTTTGTGTCCATTGCGGCCCTGTTTCATTGGATGCTCCCTTCCATTTCGATACAGAAATTGATGTTTTCCAAGCCAGTGATTTACTTCTAGTTTGCCAACGGCATGTCTCATCCCAATCTCGTTGTATTTGGATCTCTCATGGGCATATTGGATGCAACATCGCACGTCTCATAGTCCCCTCTTGCAATAATTACTGAGAAATGTCATTCTGTTGGACTGGGCATAGCAACTCGTTAAAAGGAAAACTCAAAGAGGGCTGAATACGAGGGAATAGAACGGAATCTGTTATACGATACCATTCAATTTAAATGATGATCAAGTGCACGTTGGAGGAAAAATCACCAGTTCGAAAATTTGGATTCAGAATTCTGCTGAATAGCGACAGCTAATGAAAAGGGTACGCAAGCGGTGGCGATAACAAAAAGGACGAGGAGACCAAAATGAAGTGCAAAGATTTCAAGTTGGCTGGTGAGCCCTACGCTATTTATTTAGATTTGGACGATTCGTTCAACAAAAAGCAATGCAAGGCGGTGGGATTGAAATTCATTATGAATAGCGGTCGAGGCAAGAATTTCAAAACAGCTTTTTAATGTAATCAACGACAACAGATTTTCCCACAAACTGTCCTCTTGACAAGGTAGATTCACCTCATCATCTTGAGCATTCTCATTATGTACTGCAAGTTGCTGTGAAGTGGAATGTATCACAGCTCCAAATGATCGTGGCACAATCACTTCCAAGTAACTCTGCAGTTGGTTCGAATTGAACGTGCAGAACGAAAAGAAGTCGAAGGAAGAATCGAGATTGGTCGCGCTCCACTTTAGATCGGCCAATTATGTAAATCTAGAGGTTAGCTGATGTGGACAAGTTGTTTGGCCAAGGCATGGGAGGAGCAACGGTGGCAATTACGGTCCATGCGTTCCGATGGCAAAGTTGCTGCGAAGGACCGCGCCAAACAACCGCCTCCCATCGAGAAACGGTAAGAAAAGATATTCCGAGAAGAAATAACTTTCTTGAAATCGTACACTTCCTAATTATTTAGGCAAATTTGGAATATGCATGACGTCCGCTTTCGAAAAACTATGGCCCATATGATTTCAAAGTCACATTGAGAAAATAACGAGATAAAAACTATCATCCTGAATTTAAAAAGTAAAACTCGGGATCATTCAAGTAATAGAAACAAATTGACTATAAGAAAACAAAAAAAAACCAACCGCGCGAGGAGGAACTGCATAATTGGTCTTGCTGGACAGCAACTCTGCGACTTCAGACGGAGGATGATTTGCAAGTAGGCGCCGCGCTTCATCACGCACGGACGGCGGAAGACGTGTGTATAGTGATTCACAAGTGATACTATTGCCATGTGGAACCTGACAAATTGACAGTAAGAAAACAAAACAGTAAGAAAGATAAATAAAAGAAGAGGAACGATGGTCAAGCAAAGGGTGCGAATGTGAAGGGATCGGACGGAACCTGTGTGGGTAGCGCTCCTTCTTCAGTGTACCAATACACAATCATCGAGTGACCTATTTGCATACCGCCTTTGGTTAAATAGATTACCTGAACCGACTAATGTTATCTTCTGTACAGGAAACGAAACGACCTACGAAACATCTTTAAAAGTGAACAAATAAAAAAATAAATAAATATGATGTGGTCTTACGATAACTGATGGGTCACACAAAACTAGGAACGCACTCACTCTTTTCTTCAAGCGTGGTAGTCGTGGCAATGTGGCCGCATATATGTGCATTTGGTAGTCAGTGCCTTGGGATCGTGACATTTTCATGACACGCAACTGTCCTTCACGATTAAGACCGAGTGAGATCTTACTTGTTTTTGGCCGTCGACACATGATCGAACCTTGAAAAAAGGAATTCGCACAAGTTTATAAGTGACTCATCTAACGTAAGCTAGGAATTCAGCTGTATTAACTACAAAGAAGTTCTCAGCGCAGCGTGAAAAAGCTTCCGAACATTGAATTGACGGTGAATCGAAAGAGAATAAATCCAGCACTGATAAACCTCCACGGGATATGCCGAGCATGTTGCTTCCACTCTGCATCTCAGTAGAATTTCAATATCCAATGACCTATGAAGTCGAAGATTCATCCTTACCAAGAAAATCGTTCAGGACGTGCAGTTTTTTTTTTCAAAACGTTATGAGTGCACGCGCGTGAGACACATATATGGAAACTCATTCCCTTAGCAAAAACCTCCTAATATGGAACTATATTGCGAATATACAGTGCGCGTCAATTGTATATGCCACCCCCTGATTTCTTCTTTTTTCTGACTCATTTGGAAATTTCGTAAAACGGCATAGCAACTATCGTTCTCGGCGTGTCGGGAAACTAAGAATGAGTTGTTTGATTATGATCAACGCGTTGATTTAAATTGATCTGTTCTTTGGAAGAAAATGGGCCGCGTCAATTGCTTATGCCATCTTAAAATTTCTTCGGAATTTCACATGTCTCTAACGTTATTCAGCTACGGTGTGCATGTGATACAAATGAGAAAATCCTCGACTTATGCAATGCACAGAAATGGTGGAGCATTTTAACTAATTGGTTTGAAATATTAGCTCTAATACTGGACGGTAACAGCATTGAAACGCTTTATCAGAGAAAGTGCTGTGTGCTCGCTGCGATCGCTCCTGCTGCTTATTGTAGAACTCACCGAGGAGTGTATCCAGGCAAAATTCCCGCTTCGAATCTGCGGTCAACTTTATTTGTGGTTTCGGCTGTCTCGAGAGAACATTACTCGTACCTACTCCCCGTCTGGTACCCATCACTGAACTCGGTTGTCCCGTTCAAGTTACAACAGGCCCATGTCATCATTTTCGCTTGCTCGGTAAGGAAATTTTTCCAGAGAGAATCCGACGAAGTTCGGCAATGGGTACTACGCGGATTGTGAGTGCAACTCATATTCTCTCTGAACAGACTTTGTGAGCGTGAACGCTTCGAGCTTCGCGGGAGCCGAGACCACAAATAAAGTTGACCATGGATTCGAAGCGGAAAAATGAGAATTTAAGGGCTCCTTAAGCACTTCAATTTCCCCAGTTTTGCCTTGATACACTCCTCGATAATTTTACAATAAGCAGCAATAGCGATCGCAGGTTTGAGCACACAGCACTTTCTCTGATAAAGCGTTTTCATGCTGCTACCGTCCAGTATTAGGGCTAAAATTCCGAACTAATTAGTTATTAATGCTCCACCATTTGTATACATTGCATGAGTGGAGGATTTTCTAATTAGTACTGCATGCACACCGTAGCTGAATGGCCGATGTCAGAGTCTGCGATTGGAGCGATTGGTCATGATGGGACTCATGTCAATCGCGCGATCGCCGCGCGAATCGCGCGATGGTCGCGCGATTGGCATTTGACCGATCGCTCCAATCGCAGACTCTGACATCGGCCAATAGCGTTGGAAACATGAGAAATTCTGAAGAAACTTTAGGATGGCATAAGTAATTGACGCGGCCCATTTTCTTCCAAAGAACAGAGCAATTTAAATCAACGCGTTGATCATAATCAAACAACACCAATCTTAGTTTTCCGACACGCCGAAAACGATGGTATAATTCCACATTAATAGGCTTCTGCTAATAAGGAACGGTCAACTGGTAGGTCCGGCCATTTGCAACGAGGTGTAGTCCGCTGCACGCGCCTTGCAACGCTGAGCTCAAATCCATTTTCAGTTTTCGCCGAACGATTCTCTGAACGAAGTTATGAGGGATTCTTCATACTGTGGCTATCTCACTGAGGCGCCCTCTACGTCCCAATATCTCACTTGGCTCGCGTAAAAACAGAACGAACGATTAGAACGATAACAAAATAACCACTTATAGCGCTTTTTGGGTTCGTATGAGCAACCTTCGAAAAATGCAAAAGTTGATCACGGCCAGCGGTTAGAACACATGAAGTCAGGCCAATGAAGCAAGAGCGCCACTAGATCACCATGCTCACTCCACTAGACCCTCTGCTGCTCTTCTTATGTGTGCCGAGTGGGATAGGGGGATGTAAGGGCGCCACTGAGATAGCCAGAGTGAGAAGAATCCCTCATAACTTCGTTCGGAGAATCGTTCGGCAGAAACAGAAAATGGATTTGAGCTCAGCGTCGCAAGACGCGTGCAGCAAACTACACCTCATTGCAAATGGCCGGACCGACCAAATGACCATTCCTTGTAAGGGAACGAGTTTAGACATAAGAGCAACAAAGTGGAAATCACAGAAATGCAAAAAAAATCTTTATGGGGATCTATTTACAGTATAGTTTCTACATATTCTGGTATTCCCAGAACCACTAAAAATGATCCCGAGTATTATGTTCCACGCATTTGTCCCAATAACATATAACGCAATCCCTTTTGAAAAGTGCTTCCACGTCTTGAAAGGTATTTCTAGTTAGAGATGAACCTGGGGCCGGGTGCACCAAGTCTCGGCCGGGGATGAGGACGTTACTGGATATATTCCAACCGAAACATATCCCTGTCCCAAAAGCCAGAGACCATTGCAAGGTTCCGTCACAAGCCCACTATTTTTTGATTGGTATTGTTACGTGACCATTCTAAACGGTCATTGCTGTCACTCTCTGCGCCTGTTCCGATCGACGATAAACCTCCTAAGTCTCGACTAGGGGGATCTATCTCCGCCCGGCAGAGACGCATAGGGTCTACGGCGGTGACCGTTTCGAATGGTCGCGTCACAGACAGAGTCAACCAAGCGTTGCGCAGTTCGCAACGGCACGTTGAGAGATCCTCAACGCACGCTGTATGCGCGGAGACGCAGACGGCTCAAGCATGCGAGTGTGAATGTTCGCGCGAGAGAACGTGTCTAATCGGGCGAAACTAGGCAACGTGGCCGTTGAAAACTGCGCAACGCAGGGTTGACCCTGGTCACAGAACCCATCAAAAAATGATGACGAAACACTTAAACGGTCTCTTGCTGCATGTCGGAAATGGGAATGTGTCCCGAAGGCAGAGATACGTCCCCAAGTTGGGGATATGTTTCCGAGGTTGGATCGTTGGGTAAGGGATTTATCCCCGGCCCGAGGCTTGCTGCATCCGGCCCCTGCTATAAATTAAGCGACTCTGTGGGGCTGCGAAGGCTCGGCTAACTTTAGCGAGATTCGGACACAGATTTGACCTCCGACTGTGCGCGCCTATCGCTATTGCACCTACACGCAAAACTGTGAAATGCAAGATAGAAAAAGCATAATATTATCATTAAATTTCCAACATAAGCACCCACCATCACTCATTTGCAAGCTTTCCGACCACGGTGATAACGCATCGCAAGTCAAATTCCGAATATCGACCTACAAATGTTCTTAAGAGAAACAATAGGGAAGAAGATATCCACTGCAGCTGTACTACAACTGTACCTCGTTGCCGTCAATGAAGAATATGAACGTGCCTCTGGAGGTCGTCATAGGTGGAAACATCGGTACTCGGGTATTCAAGCAAGCCATACTTTCACTAAATTTGCAACAGTTACACACTCTTCACAGACTTTTCTATCACTGACAAAACAATTATGTAAAATTCCCTTCTCCACACGAACCATTTTCGCATTTATGAAACTGCCGAAAGTTATGACCAGTACACTACTCAGAAACGCTGCAAAAAATCGACTCACACAAGGCGTGGTTTGTTTATGAGGTAGTGGAGCTGACGATTACGATCATTCAGAAACTCCATATCATTAAGATCCAAAAAAATGGAGCCATCCTCAGCTTGCTGAGGACCTATTCCGAACTGAAAATCAATCATAATAACTTTATAGGGAGGCACTCGAAATAAACTAGCTCGGTCTTACTCACAGGACTTTCCTTCTCCGATTCTGATATATCAGAAACGTCATCTAGAGTGTCAGCTATGTCAATCTAAAAGGTAAAGCCATAAGTAATGCATGGAATTAAGGGCTTTCACTCACCGAAAGGAAAGATAGGAGTTTTCAATTATTTGCACTACACACCAACGAAAGCTCCATTTGAAGCAGCTTACATTGTTTTGCTCACTGGGAACATTTCGGGGATGGTGGTCGCACAGAACTTGGGTAAAGCTTATTGAGGAAAGCTCCTTTTGCGACTTAATAAATCCCTGAATAAGATGGCGAGAAAAACAAAAGGCTAAGCATCATCTGCCGAACTGTGGCCTACTGAGTACGTGCGGTTAGCACACTGCAAGTCACATATTGGCATACGTAGTCTCCAGTGTTAATAGAAGTCGTGACGTCAAATCCAAAAAAACCCTACCATTGGACGCCGTGGCTTCTGTCGCATGTATCGCTTGGAGTACGGACCTCGGATGCGAGGCACCGGACCTTCTGTGTGATAATCATACATAATCATGACATGGCTGATAATCGTACGTGTTTCAGTTTCCATGAGATAGGCAATCTAAGACAGAAAATCAAAGAAGAAATAAAAAGCTGATGATGTTGATGAGTTCTTATTGGAAGAAATAGAATGTCACTCACCTTTTTTCTAAGACGTGTTTCTTTAGGATGAATACTATACAAATGCACAAGGTGATAGGGGCTGGAGCGATAGTCGCCGTGGCCGATTCGGAACAAACCAGTAACTTCGTCCGTTTCGACTGGGAATTTACGGACCTTTGTACGGTAACAGGTCGGATTTTCAGCTGAAATGTTACATCGTCAATATTACAAATTTCATTTACATTTCATCGCCAGAATCAGTCAGACAAGTTGAAATGATTTATTATTGGAAAACCTTAGCAGCGATATACACTGCGTCTACAAATGATACAGCCACATACAAACTGTTCAAAATCTTCGTTCCATGAAGCTTCCGGAAAACTGTTCAAAGAGAAAAATGTGTTAAACTTGATCGCAAATTCGAAAATCAACACAAAATTCCAGGTTGGGAAAGCCAAAATTTTTCTTTGCTAATTTTTTCAAAAAGGACGCTTTTCCTATGTCTCTAAATGATACAGCCACCCCGTGTTTTTTCGTTGTATTTCATTTTTGCTTGATGAAACTCAAGAATAGTCATCATTTTTTCATTTCTAGTTATCACGGAAAAAAAGCAGTTGTTGGATTCCGAAAAAGGGCAAATGGTCGATAAAAGAAAGAAAGAGTAAGCACCAGTGGTCACATTGCGCGGAAGTTAGTCGAAGTCACAAAATGATAAACAATTTGAAGTCACAAAATGATAAACAATTTTTTCTTGCATACCGCAGGAAATAAAGCTGTAAAGGGCTCTAAAAGCTCCTCTTCGCTTTTTGACCAAGATTAATGCGGTATTATGAAAGTAACGTCCAATTTCACCAAGCCGTACTCAAAATTAGAGTCTTCTTCGAACTTAATCTTTTACTGGATAGTGCTTGGTGAGTAGTGAAAAACTTCCACGTTAGCTCTCAAGCGGAAGGTGAAAATGGCAGTGTTGCTGAAATGACCGTGACGAAAACTGGGACATTTTTTGTGGGGAAAGAGTAGCCAAGCCAACGTTGGCTTGGCTCGCTGTATCATTAGAAGACGCACTGTATATCCTAAAATCTTTGAAAATATCAATATGATTCACTGATATGTCAACGTTTATGCAATCTAATCAAGCTGGCTTACGTGTCCCATTTCCCGACCAGGGAGAAAAATCGTCCCTGTTGATATCATGAGGATAAACGATATTTCCAGCCACGAAAAACGCATAGGCTCGAGCATTACGAACAAGTGGAGGATGCTGTGGCTTTGTGCTATTCAAGATATCATGGTTTTCCCTAGAATGAAAAATTATGAAGCCCACATTCAGCAGTTACGGCTTACTACTTCCAACTCACACGAAGTTCGTGTTTGCGATATACTGCAGTATGGTATCCAAACTTCCTGCCATTCTTTTGTGTCTTACAGTCAGATACACATGACCGCTTTCCAATTCACGTACGCCATCGATGAACTGCAACCATACAAATCACTTCGAGTTAAGAACGCATGGCAGCGTAAGAAAGTTACCGGATCGCTATTCTCTTGCGACGCTAAGAGATCCTCATCAAAATCGCCGTCCCAACCACCATCCAAGCAATCCTCATGCATTTCTTCAAACTGAAATGGACAACCGTACCGGTACACGATTTATACCAGTTCTGAATGAATAAGAAAGAGTGTTATCATCATACCTCTCCTTGTCCTCCAGTCATCGACATATCATTCTCATCACCTCCGTCCACAATTTCCTCTACATCGACGAAATCGTCAGTAACCCCACCGTTTCCTTGGATATCACTAGAGTGCGACTTATCTATGGATGTCGACAAAGCCGTCGATTGCCGACTCTGCAAAAAAGGATTACATGGGTCATGAATAAGAACTTTCGAAGCATTTCATGGGAATTGCAGGGCCTATGCCGGTAAAAGGGGGAAGCAGGTGGTGCGTCAGTTGCATGCGCCTACAAAAAATCCAAATTCTTGAGGGAAAGGGAAGCCTGGGTGCATTATCCCTTTCGCTTTCTCTTCTACACTCACCCAAGAACTTCACTCCCCGCACAGAATTGGATTATTTCAAGCCATATCAATTGTTGCACCACATACCACCTTACTGGATGAGACCCATGGTGCAATAACAGGTAAAGTTTGAAGATACTTAAAGCTACACGAAATTGCGTATCAAAAACGCCAACAGGCTCAACCGACCGTTATCGGCGGACCAGGCACAGTGATGGAATTATCTCGTAGGATCTCTGGTAGCGGACCTTCTCGGATATACTCGTACATGAAACATACAATTCCCAACACCATACGATTATTGCGTTGGATGAAAACAACCTTAATAAGAATGAGCACAAATTTTACACTTTCAGCATTTTTCACAATTAATGGATGTTAAATTTTAGAAAGCTTTCTCCTCGCATTGATTTTGATACAAGGTTTTCGCTATCCATAGAAATACTTAAAAGGTTATCACTCACTCTTTTCCTCAGCCGTGGGCATCTAGCCAGCACGGTTATCGTTTCAACCAATGCTAAGCCTGTCTGCTGCCAGTCTTGCTTGGTCAGGCGAAACACCCCCTCTGCATCTTGCATGAGAGCTCGCTTTACCGTTCGCACACGGTTATGCATAGATGCACCTGGAAAGAGAATAAAGTAAGTGTTGCGAGAAACATACGACGGCACAACCCAAAATGGGCTCAAGCAAATTCCTTTGGTGGGCAGATAGGGCTGATCACAAAGGTTCCACGTGTCCTGTGCCCATGGCTACAAAGATGCAAGAAGACGCAAAGGCCGTTATAAGACCGCTTCGACCGCTTCTATTTTTTTCGTTCGCCGCATGCTGGTGTATCTCACCCCTTACGCTCTCAGGCCTGCTCTCCGTTCTTCGTGCTCATTCTATCGCTGCCTTGGTACAAAACAAAGCAAGATTTCAAAGGCAGCGTTCTTTCTCCTAGACTAACGCCCAACTTCGCATGATGTTTTCATATTTAGGTGCAAGGACCACTCCGGCGTGCCTTATGCAATACATGGATAAATCTTGACGCAGCCACCAATTCGAAATCTGCGTGAAAACGTATATAACATACCTTGGAATGTCCATGGCGACAAGCCGTCACCTGTATGGTGAATATGATCAGCAACCAAGGTAGCCGGCGCAAAATGCACAAACACTCCTCGCCCTTCAATCATCGGTGGAAGAAATGGCACGTGAGTATTCAAATAACCTGCTTCATCTCTAAAAGGAATTGAGGTTCACACGAGTCACTTGTTCATAAATAATGAGAGTGATGAATTCCAAGCTTTCAAACACTTGTTTGGCATTGAACCAAAAATCGGAGCAAAATCTTAAGAGACTTACAAGAAGGTGGGATCGTTGATCAAGTACTTCAATAGTAACGTCTTATTGTTCACCCATCCAATCTTTGAAGGATGCACTTTGAGAAACTTCTCGCCTCGAACACCAGGAACAATGCCTTCGATGAACTACAAAAACACGTCTTTCTTATAAATAACCAATTCATGCCGTAGCAGGGGTAGATGCTTAATCAAATCGATCTACTTATACGATCGCTTATCATATTTCAGCACATGATACGGCATTTTCTCGTGCTCTTCGAACTGCAGGGTGATACGGCAATTTCTCGTATTCTCCGAACTCCAGGGTGTCCCATAAATACTGCACCATAACACGAGCTTCAATTCTGTGTGTATACATAGCTACTCCTTCGAGGCTGGCAGACTTTTACATTCCATAATCTATTGTATTGCAAATAACCTTGCCGAATTCCACGGCTTAATGTTCGGTCTAGATTTCAGGTAGCCCAATCTTCAAAAGATGGCCTAATCTCTCACACAGTTAGCTCGTTCAGGTCACACTTTTTCAAAGCGGTCCTTTTCATATTGTAGGGACGCATGTAGGAACACGCCATGTTTCATTTTTGCTGAACGTTTTTAGCAGTACTAAAAAAAGAAGCATAAGCTACTGTTCATGGTTCAATACCCCATGGCGATTAAATTTTGCATTTGGATAGTCGCCTACGAATTGATGCCAAATTATGCTAAATGTCAAAATCAGATGTCGTGTTCATCGTCAGGAACGTTTTGAAGCAAACAAGTGGCCGCCAACCCTGACTGCAAAACTTATTCGCCGCAGAGGATCAAACTATTAAAGGTATCATTCACCACTTTTTTGATATTACTAAAACCGTTAAGCAAAAACGAGACATGGTTTTGTGGTCACATGCGTCCCTACAATATGCGAGAAACTGTCTCCAAAAAACGCGGTATGCCCTGAAAGAACCCCTTGTCAGACATCTAGTAATAAACATCGCGCTTCTTCAAAAAGAAAGCACTCCATGGCCTACTGCGCGCTGAATAAAAGTACCATAACTAGAGGCCACCTCGTTAGTTCCGCCATTTTAGATTTCAGGAAACAAATGAGGAAGCAGATCGACTGCAATACCGGAGCTGGCTTGAGAAAGGTGAAAACAACACTGAAGTTCCAGAACACAATCATGTGAAGATCGGTCATGCAATAACTGCTCAAATACAACTACAATCCGCCCGAACACCAGTGTTCAGTCGAGCCAGAGGAGCATTAAAGAGACATAAAGCGTGAGTAGTCGGTGATAAGGCCAAATAAGATGATTACGTGAGCAACTTCGACGGCCAAATTGTTCCCGTAGAGCGCAGCTACAATTTTTAAACTTCAAAGAATCGAATGAGGTCTCGAAGAAGCCAGTGAAAGCTAAAGGAATATTCTCGATGACCAGCGACCAATCCCTATTATGGTATGGGCAGGAGACTCAACTACCGGTCGCACACCACCACGGTCAGCTGAAGGCAACTAGCCTTCAATGCATCATTTGTGATTAAGGTAACAAGCCGTTTGACAAGAATGATGTTCTTTTATATGAGGCGTAGCTTCCTGCACATTAGATGAAAATTGTTCACGAGCAGTGTTATGCCAGTCTTGCCAGTCTTCCCGATTTCTCGTCCTTGAAAGAATGGCTCTTCTATCCCTTGACTGTGCTGGAACGTCCTATGTGAGCTGTTCTGGAGGGGGGGGGGGGGCAGAGCATGCACTTGACATTACACCCACATGGAAGATTCGAACACTTTTCTCAACGGTGTTATGAAGAGGACACCTCAGGATGTCATGCGGACCGCAGCAGAGTTCTGTTCGAAACAAATGTTAAAAATTTACAAGTTAAGAAACTTATAGCAATATTTATGGGACCCTATACAAGCTTGCCCCACATGAGAGCTAGTGGCCAAAAATCTTTCATTAATTCTCTTAATTCATTTGAGCCCTCCGATAGCTATAGAATGAGGCAACAGAACATTCACTGAACTTACCGGATTGTCGGCATCAGCTACCGGCAATTCCATGGCTAAATCCAACTGCTGCATATCTCGCAGAGCATCGTTTCCATGAGCGATATTCATTATAGTCGGCAATTCTCCGGGCATAGTGAAGTCGTACAATATGAGAACATTACCAACGATCTGTCCAGTTTGTCGGGCAACATAGAAAATCTGGAAATCGTTATCAACAACTTAACGTAATGCTGGCTAGACAATATTTCCTATAGTCTTGAGAAGGAAAACCCGAGTTTGAAAAATATTTCGCGGGCTTCACCTTTTTCCTCAATCTCAGCAGTCGCGGAAGCCAAGCACTATACTCCGTGAGATGGAATTCAGAAGATCGTCCATCTCCTTTACACGGTTCGAATCGACCGTCAATTCTTGCAACAGCATGCTTCCTTACATTCGGTTTAATCGTCGGCTCTCCCTCGCCAGGATCTGTGAAAACTTGTTTCAATTTGAAACAAAGTTTGATGATAAGTACTCGATACCAGTTGTAGTCCATGGCTTCAGATCATCGCTCGAAAGCTCTCTCACTGAGCTCACAGTGGACCCTTCGATGTAGAATGCGAAACAAGCTTTTGTGCCCACAAGAGGGGGCAACCGCGGAGGTTTGATTGACATCCATCCTTGTTCACGGCTGAAGTAAGATAATAAACAAATTGTTATGACGTAATCTTACCACAGAATAGAGTGAATGCCGCAGCATGTCACTTCCGTTCATCGTTCCATGTTCGATCGCTTACATTGCTTCTATGTCTGATGGTTCCGTCAGCAACTCCACAATTCGCTCCTTACGTAACAAATAGCTTAGACAGCCTGGTATTACAGTTGCGTAACGGTCACCATACTCCGTCACTCCCACTTCGTTTTCGAACTAAAAAGAAAACATGTTCAGAAGAGCAGTAGGCTGAACAGTCAAGAGCACAATGACAAAGTACGGATTTTGTGCAGTGAATGAAGCTCTTGAAGTAATGAGGTAAGGAGCACGGCACAAGCACAGAGCATGTACCCACTTGACGTCAGGCTTATCAATACGGTGGCGCAACGATGGCTCGGTTCACCTATCACCATACCCCAAATCAATGGCTTCGCATCTGGTGAGGTTTTATTTTAGCCCTTGTCAACAGTTGTCCAAGCGTTCCCATTTTTGGTGTTACAATCTACATCTACACTGTCCAATTCCGAGCGCAATAAGAATCACTTCGATCTCGGACCTTGCCTTTAAAACAATATTTAGAGAAATTCAAGATTGACATCAGAAGAGACTGGTAAGGCTTGAAAAACGTAGATACAAGCAGAAGGAATCAAGAAGACCCTAAGGAATGTAGAAGGACGAGAGAGCACGCATTGTCAGAGCGTCGCAAGTTCTTCTCCGATGAATTCGAATAAGATCTTTTTTAATACCAGAAAGAAGTCATATTGTATACGGGTAACTTAGTGATTCAGCTTTAATGGATCGTTCAACTTTATGTAACGTTTGAATAATATCTGGGATTGAGATGGGACCGCGTATAGGTTGTAAAACAGCATGCAGGTATAGGCTAGTATCCCTTGAGATCCCCTCACACGGTCATAAACCAATGTATCCACCCTCTCCTGCAGATCCGTCTTCTGGTTGAACTGAGCAGTCAGCCTGCAGTTTTGCCGAGCTTACGGAAGGTGATGTGATCCGTCTTTTTTCGGATATCGAGCGGGAGTTTCGCTACGTCGTTCTTACAATCAGGTGATTGACTCCACCCGTTAAAGGCCTCAACGTGACACAAAGCGTCGCAAGGTGAGAAGTCGTTCCCTTCACCTGATGAAGCTGGATTAACCGTGTGGAAAGTGTCAGAGGAGCAATTGTTACGACACGACTATAGATGTAACTTGGCCCAAGTGTGGCTCCCGCAATAGTCGTTTCCTTCTGCGTTCAGATAGTATAAAACTATTGTGCGATTACATAAGACCACATGTCGCAAAAATAACGCAACAACAAATCAGGGAGTTGGACTGTAACGTTCTCCCTTCCGTTATAGCCCAGAACTGGCGCCATCCAACATTAAATGACTCAGGCCAATGCCGCCTTCCTTAGCAGCAAATAAATTCAATGACCCGACAACGTCGAAATTAGAGTGCCTAACTTCTTCGAGTCGTACCTAAGAGAGTTATAGGAGTTAAGCCTCCATGTTTTAGGCAACAAAAGGTGGAGAGCCAGTGACACACATGGGGGAACTGATAACTTGATGTGCTTTGATATAGCTTTCATAATTATAACAATTGTTGATCAAAAGCAACATTTCAAAGTTACCAACGCAATATTTACATGTAATGATTGGCTCATTGTCATCATTACTATATAGATAGTTGTTGATAAATGGTTAATTACGATGAGTGCGTTACGTTTGTAATTGGAAACGAGCAATGGGCGCAGCTAAACAGCACTCATGGCTTTTACAAAATTGTGAAACTTCATTTCTACAATCAGAGAAGCAGAAAAAGGCAACAAGGGCAAAGGGCAAGAACTAAGATCAAATTTCAAGAGGACCGAAAACTAACCAGTTTTATGTTATAATTATTGATTTTATCCGCTTCTCCTTTGCTGATTGCCTTGTCAGCCACATAACGTGAACGAGGAAGTGGAAACAGTCGACCTGTGCGAGACCGTTGAATAATCTGCGTCGGGGAATGCTTGCGCGGCCTCCCACGTGGACGTCTTCGCCTATAGCTTGTAGTATTCGTTCAAGCAGGGAAAAATCTGTAAGAACCAAAAACAAACTTACTCTGCGCTTTTCTCCAACATAGGAGGTTGATCATCCTCTTCACCTCCGGACACTTCCTCTTCAAGTGCCACGTCTATCGCATCAGCTAATGTCATCATACCACCTGTTTCGTGACCCATCAACTCAATACCTTCGATATCGACCTCTGGTTCGACGTTTGTCTCCTTAAAAACGAGATTTACTTTGCGAATTATGAGTAAAGCGTAAAGCGGAATTTAGTGGAAAAACACTGAATTGATCATTAATGACGCACCTCAGGTTCGATATATGGAGGAGGCGGAGGGGGATGAACTATCCTACGTGGGTGAGATTTTCGCTGAACCGCTGCCACTTTTTCTTCCGCTTTCAAATTTGCATTCAATTCATCTGCATGTGAAGTTTCGATGTCAACGAACTGTTCTTCGACTTCTTCAACAACAGCTGCTTGTCCATGAACTTCCTCTTTTTCTTCATCATCGGGCTCTTCTTTCACGGTACTAGGTAGCATAACCTTGAAAGAAATCATAAGGAACTCTTGCACAACACCAAGCAAAGTATCACTGACTACTCAGACTTTCCTGTTGATGAGGACGGTCAGGCCTTATGGTGATCCGGCCTAAACGCACTCAACCAACACTATTTATGCTGCAGATTACGGGAACAATTCAAAACTTTCTAAATAAAGAAAAAAGCCGCAATTCCAACTAACACAAGGTGATAGGACGACAGCGACTGCATCCTGGAAGGGATTCTCCTTTGCTTACTTTGAAACCAACAGAAATAACTCACAAATTTAGATTGTTTTCGCTAACCCAATAAGATTAAGGGAAAACATTCCATGTGTAAGGCTGGTGTCAGAGCCCGCGATCCGTCGCAGATTTCGCTGATTTCAGCGGTTTTCGCGATTTGCGCGAAACCTGCGATGGATCACAGGAGTTGGAGGTGCCCGATGATACTGCGTGGTGCCTGCTGCGAGTGAAGATTGAAAGACGACTTTCGATATTGATGCTACTTAATCCATGTCCAATGTCTTTCAGTTCATTGAAATGCTCATAATTCGTTCCTATTCTATCCTCTAATTCTAGTTTCTACAATATCAAACAAGTGGAATCATGAGGGCAGTCGTCATTCAGCCATCAATATCAAGCAGAAGTGGCGGCGGCATTGGAGAACACCTTGCAGTATTGATGGGGGACTGTGGTTACCGTGACCCCGCGCAAATTGCGAAAATCGCGCAAATCGCGACAATCGCTGAAATCGGCGAAACCTGCGATCGATGGATCGCGGACTCTGACACCAGCCTAAGGAGGACTTGAGACCAGATTTCTCACAGGATTCGAATAAGAGGAAACTGTACAAAAAGTACGAAAATGAATGAGACATGCCGCTCAAAAATGACTAAAACAGTTGAAGCTGGGCACGCCGAGAGTTATAGAAAACAATATCCCTTACGAAGTGGGATGTGCCACTTTCGACTTACACTTTCGATAATGTAAAGATTCGGAAGTAGTTAGTCGAGAGGCAGAGTTGAGGCAGCTGCAAACATTTATGCTTTCAGCTGCCCCAACTCCCACTTTCGATCCTTAAGAAGCATATGATTTCTCAGTTTTAGCAGTTTTTGATTTGTACGCGACGCACAATTCTCACCACCCACACCCTCCAATAAAAAACTGACAGCCTCCAGAGCCACAGAAAACAACATTCCCACGAAGCTCACAAAGGAACTCTCTCGAAAACCTGGGACTGTAAAGGCTTCACTTCGCTTACTCCCTCGGACTGAGCCAAATTTGAATTAAGCAGGTAGATGCTCTCAGGAAATCAAAAATGCGAAGCTGCAAAACTGCAACGTTCTGGCATGAAATTGCTACAACATAGAAAGCCAAACATACTAGCCTCATAATCAGAAAGTAGAACACTTTTTCTGATGGTTCGTTTTGGACGAGATGATGAGGACGCATCATTCTGTGATGTTTGTGGATCCTCCGTAACAATTTCAGAAGAAGTTTCAGCTTCGGCAGCCTTCTTCCGTTTTCGCGACGATTTCGGGGGGCTACTTGGCGGTGGTGGTCGTTTTTGTGGTGAGATTTTCGCCTCGTTAACTCCGCTACGACGGGTGCTCGTCATCTGAAATGAAACCTATTGAAACCAGTCAGAATGTTTTCTAAATGTTACATTAATTAAGCGTAAATATCACTGTTCAGAGTTCCGTTCAACTTTTCCTCCGAATATATGACCTAGTAGTTCTCACCATTACATAGTAATAACAAGTCTTTGGGTGATGAACTTCTTTTAGACGTCAAAAGCTTCACGACTAGAAGACGAACTTGCCTCTTTTTTACATACCAGATTAGTCCCCCGTCAACCGCCGGGGACCTTCCTTTCCTGCGCAAGCTTTCTATCCTCCGCTATGGTCCCTTCCTGCTGTGACACCAAACACTCGTGGAAGTGACGCGTATGCAACACAATGGTGTTTCAAACAGTAGAAGGGACACAATCATGATATGACGGTAGATTATTCGCTTCCCTTCCTCATCCTCCCTTCCTCTCTCCACTGCCCTCCAGCTGCCACTGCAGCACCAAGTGGAATGAACGGAAGTGTGCTAAGCAGGTGTTTATATAGCCCTAAGAGTGTTATCACACAACTATCCGCCTACAAAACATTGATATCTCAAATTCTGTAAGCTACCCCGATTTGTTAGCGGTTTGTTTATCCCATGAGCTTCCTTATCACTCACTTCATTTTGCGCGAGCGCGACACACACACACACACACCACCACACACACACACACATACAGATACACAAACCGACACACAAAGTTAGCGCTTTATAAAATAGAAGGATTATCACTATCAAATTTTATAACGCTTTACCGCAGCGCATGAAATTCTGACTACTCTCCTCTTGATCAGTGACAAAACTCCACTTGATCTCACCAAGAATGAGGAGCACGGTTCATATATCCAGAAGTAATCCAGTTTCGCACGAGGGAAAGGAGCTCTAGAGTGGGTGCAAAAGCGGCATCGAAATAATTTACGCACCCTTGATATCCTCCCTTGAGAAACTGAAGTTTCCTCTCTCGTCTGCGCTTTCTCACCTTATCAGCGGCTCACGACCACTGTGATCACACACATTCAAACTTTTGCCACTCAGTAGCTGGCTCACCCACCTCAAAGTCCCTCCTTCTTACAAGGCTTAGTTCTAGGGCTCCCACCTCCTTCCCAGGGATTTGGAGCTGACTCAGGCGCCGTTCTCCAACTGTCTGTGCCCTCCGCAATTCGTGGAAGTCCGTAAAATACCACTGCTTTATCACTCCCAATGTGTACATCAATAAACAAGCAAATAAAATAAAAAGTAAATGAATAAATAAACTAATAAGTGAATGACTGGAATTCGGCTTGGTGAGGCTAATCATTTAGGAACCATAAAAGCTCTCCCAAACATAAACTTCCGGTACGCTTCCTAGTGGATCAATATGACCTGGGTTTTTTTACCAGTACAAATATGAAATTCCTTTGATCATACATATGATACATAAAGGCTTGGACACCACTTACGACGATCAATGAGGTTTATGGCCATCAGAAAAGCTTTTCGATTTTTTCGCGTTCGCGCCAATTAGTGGTTTTGCAGACATTTTGCGTAAGAGAAGCTTCACACTTTAATGGTTTCGAAAAAGGCTAAAAACGCCCAGAATCATTTAATTGCCATGCCAACTGTACATTGGGGACATCAATTGCCTTTTGATAAGAGACCTATTAAAGGCAACCGAAAATCCAGCAAGAAATGCTTCACGTATTTTTTTCGAAAAAGCAAGTGCTCATGGCTCCTACCGTCTCAAACTTTTAAGTAAATCGTACAAACAAGTATGAGAGAGCAGTATATTCTTGAAAAATCCCCCAATTGAAAGCCAAAATTTATTACGTCATAAATCCAGATTTGTATAGAGCACCACTCCTGATCTACAACGCGACAGAACCCACAGAGTCAGGAATCTTTCTGGGCTTATTAGCTCTACAACTACAGCAAATGAGCAGTCAGGCAGTGTTTCTTTATGAAGTGCCTGCCATGTTGTTGATGAAACTAAGACGTATTTGATCGTTCTGGGAGATTCCCATTTTTTTCTTTCTGATGTTTCTTTATAAGAATTATTCAGTGATATTGCACTTTCGAATATTCTTGCAAGACCTACAACACACTTAGAATTGCTAAACTTTCGCTGAGCACCTGCAGCCTATTACACGTTGGTTTTAATATTGTAGGTCAGACTCGCCTTCGTTGTCTCTCCCCACACCAAGTCCAGCAACAACGGACGTAACGGGCATCAGAAGCGTGTCAGAACACTAACACAAAAGTACGTAATGAACAAAAATTCAGGCGGAAGGTGGAAACGAGATTTTACAGACACCACGGCTACGGACACGCCATAGCCGTAACGGCCTCCGCCATGGCCGCTATCGAGCGTTTGAAATTCGCGCAGCGTGTCGCGTGGCGTCACGTGCAGTTGCGGGGCGTACAACGCTTCGCGACTACCGTATCTAGGTAACCTGCGCGGGGAGGCGGTCATGTGGCGCGGCCACATTGCCATTGGGGCGCATGGGCTGTAATTGCCACCTAAGCGCCTCCCATATCTCGCTAGGCAACTCGTCCGGATCACCGAAAGAGTAGGTTATCGAGAATGATCAGTCCACAATGGAGCGCGCTGGGCCGCAAATGGCTCGCGAGTTTCGTCATTCTCGACTCGTCCTCCGCCTTCTTTCCCGTGCTGATTTCACTTTGTACTCTTCAACTGTTGGAACAGGGTCAAGCGTGCGTTGAGGAATCCTCGACATGTCACAGAGGGGTGGGGTCGTATTGGCTCGCTGGGGAGAGATCGGGCCCGACTGATACAGTAGGATCATCGTCGGAGGACAAACATTAAGGATCGAATCTATACCAGGCCAGAGTATTTCCAATAACAATTGATTCCGTCCACACAAAATCTTTGATTTAGAGGTGTCCGCTTAGCAATTCTTAGTGACTTTAGTGTTTCATCACCACACAAGTGAAAGGATCCGAAATTTGCACGTTTTCTAGGGATATTTTGTCTTTCAAGTAGGTCCTCAAATCGAACGAGATGTGAAGCGCACGGCGCATCCCAGAGTTGGCCCACGTTGGTTGCGCGCGCTTCGAGCTACGGCTATCTTGATAACGAATCTAACTGAGGAAGAATCAAGAGATTCTGAAAGAGTTCATGTTAAATTACAGAGAGGAGTACACTATTCAACAAAGAAACGCAGCCTTCAGCGTCAAATTCACAAGCATGTAACCTTTAAAGTTGAGACACGCCAAACAATTTTACACTTTTGCAGAGAGAAAAGCACAGAGGATTTTGAATCTGCTCCTACCTCAGTATGTGATCGCTCCTGCAGGGAGCTATAGTCGTTGGGATAAGTGCTAATGTAGCGAAAAAAGTACCTTCGGCGTACTCGGGCAAAAGCCTCAACGTGGCCATTTTTTAATAGTGAACGTATCACAGCATTTAGTT